TATATATGTATATACATATACACACACACACATATACACAGTCAAACCTTGGTTTTCGACCAAAATCTGTTGCAGAAGGCTGTTCGAAAACTGAATTGTTTGAAAACTGAAACCATGTTTCCCATTAGAATCAATGTAAAAAAAAAAAAAGTAATCCGTTCCAAGTCAAGAAAACAACTTTTTTAAAAGCATTTTTTCAACTATTTTACAACATAAACTGTATACAGAAATAATCTCTAGTAAGGAATCATATTTGTAATAAGAAAGCAGGTAAAAACAAACTACAAACATTGTGTATGTTTTATTTTTACCAATTTTCACATAAACATTGACATTGTAACATAAAAATTGAACATCTATCTCTCTCTCTCTCCAAGGAAGCATATTTGTAATAAGAAAGCAGGTAAAAACAAACTACAAACATTGTGTATGTTTTATTTTTACCAATTTTCACATAAACATTGACATTGTAACATAAAAATTGAACATCTATCTCTCTCTCTCCATCTCTCTCTCTCTCTCCCTCTCTCTCTTTCTCTCTCTCACCATGACAATTGTAGATTGCATTCTTTTACACCTTGAATTTATAAACCCTAAAGTAATGGCTGTAACTATGGACACTCTGTCTGCAATCCTACACTAGGGTACGAGGTAACATCCCTCCATCCATTTTCTGAACCGCTTTATCCACACAAGTCCAGTCTCGTCCATATTAATAGTTTGCTGGGGAAGACATTCCTCGGCCTTGTTGAGATTTTCAAACTCAACTTTAAACTTTTCGGCAGCTTCCTTGTCTGAACTGGCTGCCTCCCCATGACGAATCACTTCTTTTCCTCAACTTTTCGAACCATCCTCTGCTTGCTTTAAAATCAAACTCTTCAGGAGCAATGGTTGGATCCTTTTTTGATCAACTCTCCATACAATTGTCTTCTTTTGCCACAAATCGTATCTTGGCTAAGACTGTCCCCTGCTAGCTGTTTCTCATTTATGAAAATAAGCAAATGTTTCTCCACTTCCTCTAATATTTGTGGCCTTTGTTCACTAAACACACGAGATCCTTTACCACATTACTGACTTTATGATGGTCTTTCTTTTTTAGGATGCTGCTGATTTCGGCATGCCGAACTCCTTAGCCAACACAGACACATGCACACCTGATTCATATTTCACAATCAAATCTTTCTTACATTCTATAGTTTTGCGCTCTATTTTCATCTTTTTTCAGCACCTTTACTACTTCCACTTGCTTTCTTTGGTGCCATGCAGAAATAACAGTCCAATTTGCGTCGATCTCAACAAACACGTCTGCTTTGAAAAAAATCTTTATTGAACACGCCTGCTCACAATGGACGCACAATGGACGCTCTTTTTTTTTTTTTTTAATCTTTGAACACGTCTGCTCACAATGGACGCACAATGGAGGCTCTTTTTTTTAAACTTTGAACACGTCTGCTCACAACGGAGGGGTCACTTCTTCGTCAACCCGAGGAAGCGTCACTTCCTCATGTTAGAAAGTCGAGAAAAGTCGAGTGGCGCATTCAAGTGCAGTTTGGTCGAGAACCAAATTTCAGTCGTCATCTAAGGCATAAAAAACTCGAAATTTTTGGTCGAAAAACGATTTGGTCGAGAACAGAGATGTTATATTGTAAATATGTTATGTTATATTGTAAATATTCCCATCCCCGGAATTCTATGAAAAGGAATTTCCTTCACCCGGAACAAAAACCTGTGCATTAACATTTTGACTACGATATTACATGTTACCGGAATTTACATAAGCGGAAATTCCACTACCCGTAACCCGGATTGAGACGTCATGCCGCGGGAGCTTAAATACACGCAACGCCCACCCGATGCTCCGGAACGACGACACTGAGATACATTTTCACTTCGCGTTTTTTGATCATCAGATTTGAAACGACGACGTGTAAGTGAGTTTTTATTGGCGTGCGTTTTACTGTAATTGTGAATGATTTTAACTTTATTCACTAAACGTCCTGTAGAACGCGGCACAAGCTTAAAAGCAGACACGATCGAAGAAACGTGTTCACTTCGCCGTTTTCATTCATCAGATTCGAAACGAAGACGTGTAAGTGACTTTTTATTGCCGTGCGTTTTACTGCAATTGCGAAAGATTTTAACTTTATTCACTTACGTCGTGTAGATCATGGCATCGAAACGTACATTTTTCAGAGGTGGTCATGAACGCCTCTCAAGTTGAAAGGACGCCTCTCGAGTTGAATGGAAGGAGCGTAGCACCATCTAGTGGACGCATTGTAGATTGCGCCTTTTAATGCGGGGCATCTAATATATGAAACAAATTTACAAAACAGCCATTCATTGAAGGTGCGCCTCATAATCCAGTGCGTCTTTTCGTGCGGAAAATACGGTAGCCACTCCTTGTCAAAGCCTGCTAAAGCTCTTGCCTCCGCAACCCGACCCCGGATAAGGGTCGAAATCGGATAGATGGATGGACTGTCAAAGCCACTGGCTTGTGTGTTTTTTAAGACGATATGGAAAGAGGAATTTAAAAAAAAAAGTTTCAGTCACGTAGACGTTGACTTTGTGTTATTATGCTCCTAATTGGAAATGGATTGATGTAGCCTCCACGACTTGTCCTGTCCTGCATTGCGGCCCTCACTATCACCGGTGTTTCAGATCAAATTTCCACATGTCACCACCACGAATAATTATATTAGATTACACAGCAGGCAAGTGCTGCCTTCCTGTTAGGACAGCCACCAACCAACTATAGGCTGGACACTTTAGGACACATACGTCATGAGGTGACGGCCATTCACAAAGCAACAGAACAGAAGGAGAAGTATATTAAAGATGGTAGCACCTAAAAAAAACTAATAAAGTTACAAAAACTAAAATAATATGGTTTAGATAGAGAGTTGAAGAAATATATATATATATACATATACACACACACACATACACACACACATATATACCCACACACACAGTGATCCCTGCTCCAACGCGGTTCACTTTCCACGGCTTTGTTGTTTCACGGATTTTTTTTGTGCAGTTTTTTTAATGCTTTTAAACAGTGAATTGCGTTCTGCATACCTGATTGGCTAAGGCACTGACCGACATGAACAGTCTCCGCACCTCGTCTCTGTACAGCTTGCCAGCCTCAGAGAGATCATTCAATCATCATGAAGAAAAGCTGAGCTTCTGCACGCCCACTGTCCATAGACTCCCAGAGACACTGAGCGTCCAATGGGCGGGACAAAACCAGCATTTATCCAATGACTTGTCTCGTTTCAATGCATTGGGACAACCTAACTGAACTCTCTAGACGCTAAGCGTCCGCGCTGCAGACGCTCAGCGTCCACACAGTTTAAAGCACAGTGAAGCTGCGGGAATGAATGAGAAGAGAGTCGCGTCGTAACCAGTAATAAGAAGCTGATTCAGCGGAACAAAAGTTCAGCGCATTGTAGCGCATATTTAGTCAATGACATGTCCACACAATTGTACATACGCGCATATATTTGATCACTTACTTTTTGACATTTTAAGGGAAGCTGAGCTTCCTTTGCAGTCTTAGAGCAATCACCTTTGCAAGCTCTGCCTTGCTGTGTCCTCAAGCGACACACACACACACCCACATCTATATCATATACACATCTATAAACACACACATGCACATACGTTATATATGTATATATATACATATACACACACACACACACACACACACACACACACACATACGTTTGTTTGTGTATTTATTGGCAGGAGGTGAAGGGAAATCTTAAAAAAATCAAACAGTCATCATTCAGCACAATTTACATGTTCAAAGGAAGTAGGAAGAAACACATTTCAAAAACATGCATGGCAGGTCTAAATTGTCCGTAAGTGTGATTGTGAGCGCAAATGGTTGTTTGTCTACATTTGCCCTGCAATTCGCTGGCAACCTGTTCAGGGTGTACCCTACCTACTGCCTGAGACAGCTGATTTAGGCTCCAGCATGCCCGCGACACTCGTGAGGATCAGCCGATTAGAAAATGGATGGATGGGTAGAATATCAGATATTAATGGAAGTATTTTTGTTGGATGTCTGGGATGGCGTAGTGTGGCCAATATCTGATCTGGTTCCTAGATAATTAAAATTGAAATTTGGATTCTTTTTTTCAAATCTTTCAGAGGCGTTTTATTGTGAAATGCAACATAGGATCTTAATTCAAGTATTTTGTTCGGATACATGAGTTGGCCCAGTGTATATCAGAACTGGTCTGGTTAAGGGATAATGAACAATGACTTTTTTAATGTTTTTTTTTTTTTTTTTTTTTTAATAGCAGGTGTAATTTTATTTATTGATGCAGAGCTAACATCAATTCCTCTTTCTATCTCAACTTCAGACACTTTCTAGATGCAATTCTCAGACTTCCTGTGTGAACTCATAATGTCCTGACTGAAGAGAAGTTGTTTTATGACATAATTTTAAATCCAAACCACTGATGAGCATGCATTAGTTCAGGGTTAGGGAACTCCGGTTCCTCGAGAGCAGTATCCTGTCTGTTTTAAATCCTTCCCTTTTCCAACATTCCTGATACAAATGATCAACTCATCGGCAAGCTCTGTAGGGGCTGAAACAATTATAAATAAATGAATCAGGCGTGTTGGAGCAGGGAGTGATATAAAATAGGCAGGACATGGCTCTCGAGATAACGGCGTTCCCTACCCTTGCATGAGTAGTTCACAGCTTTTATTTTGAAGAAAGCTAACGCCGCTTGCTTGCTGGCCGAGGAAAATCGTAATGAACAGTCTTAACAATTGCTGTGGCTGCTGGCTTTACTTCAATTATGCAAGTGGAGCCTGGCCTGACCGCAGTGTTAAGACGAGGTTTCTCCTAAAAGTCTCAAGAAGCTTGAACAAAAATGAACATCCGTTCAAAAAACAAACGCCAGAATACACACAAACGTTCATCAGGCAGAAATACACGACGTTCACTTCATTTTTGTCCAAAATATGAAGGGGTTCGCGAACTTTTCATGCATTGATCATGATCATTGGTCGTGATTTCGTTAAAGTCCATCACTGGCAATCGAATGGATTTTTCAACAACGGCGTTTGTGTGGTATGATACAATAAATGTATTTCGATAAACCTAATGAATGTGGGGTACATTTCAATTAAAAAGCCGACGGCTCAGTTTGGAGACTGACAAGGAATATTAAGTAACGTTACACCAATGTTCACAGGTGCTTTGCCTAATTAGGCCCAGTTGACGACTGCGTCTCGGTAAACATTGTCGTATGCATCTCGTATCAAGGCTTACCTCGGAAAATCCCAGCTGAGGTAACATCTCATTCGATAGATAAAGGTTTGTCACTGTATCATCTCTCTTGCACTGCCATTTGTAAACATTACATTCCGGAAATTCTGTTTTCTTCTTCGACACTTCGCGCTACCAGTTTAGACAATAGTGACATCTATTGAAACAACCAGTAAACGCAAATTGGGATGGGAAAAATAATGCTGCATTCTCCGAAACTGTGAAATCGACTTTATGCCACTCGGATTGTCCCTCTTCCCACCTCAAAGTGTTTGAGGCTAATCTTAACAACAAATATGTCTGATTCCGATCCATCTTTTTTCTTCTGGTTCACCCGAACCCATTTAACCTCCAGCAATCCTTCTTCCTTTAATTTTTACTGAATTAATTTTATAATAAATAAAGACATATGTTTATCATCTTGTAAATTAGGTTTTGCTATTCACGGTCTGTGTCTCTGTTGGGGTCGCCATTGCCAAGCGATGTCAGACTGAAGTTGGTCTTTGAGGTCGGGGTCCCTTCTGACGACCAACTTGGACCTTCCAGTTCTATTCAGTTCAAAGGCGTTCCAGCGCACTTTTACTGTTTGAAGGTCAGATAATTTGAACTTCCCATCTTCCCCAAATGCAGCATTCATGTAAATTTGACAACAACAACAACAACAACAACAACAACAACAACAATAATAATAATAATAATAATAATAACAATAATAACATTGTTGTTGTCAGTGTTTTTAAGAAGACATTAAGTTCAGAGGAAAGTTAGCGTAAAGCATACAGTTTTTGTTTATTTTTAATTCGATACGAACTTCTCGTCAAAACGTGGCTTTGGAAAAGTGTCGCGTGGCAAGAAAACATCCATTGTACTGCATGTCTTCATTCGGGCAAGAGGCTGGTTCACACTTGCTGATCTTGTAGATTTAGCCACGAACGGGAAGAACCTTACCGAAATGTCTACACCAGGTGGCAGCATTTACCTGTATTACGCAAGGATACGAAGCAACGAAGAAGAAAGAGCAAACTGAGACTACAGAACTGTACACTCAAAGACGTCAAATGGCTATCGCTGACCGGAAGACCCTTCAAACCGCCATGAAAATGGCTCAAGTTGCAATTTACCTGGGCGGAGGAAACAGGCACAAGGTAGTTTTCGATACAGCTGGGCGACAAAGTTGTTATTGCGGACTTTAATGACGGCCGCGGTAAAAAATTCAGTGACATGCCACAGCATCAGGAAGGGTAGGCGGCGAGCTGTCAACGATCTCGTTGTAACCTCCGAAAGATACTAAGGCAAAGATAAAAGCTGGAAACCTATTCGTTTGAGCAAAATTCCACGTGATTTAAGAGACAAGACCGTGCGTGCGTGCGTACAGCTGTGTAAATGTCCGTACCGGGTGTGTAAATATGACCATACTTTCTGTGCGCGGACTGCAATGTTTTCTGACGGCTTTTGGCCGTCCGGTTTTACTGCGGTCAAGCCAGCCTCCACTCGCAAAATCGAAGTCAAGTGAGCCGCCACTGCGATTGTCAATACTGTGCATTACGGTAATCTGCCGCCAGCGAGTGGCATTGGCCACCTTCAAAATAAAAGTGCCTCCACTAATGCATAAACCTCATTTGTTTGGGTTAAAAGAAATTAATAAAAATATAAAATAAGTAATTTCTTGGCTGTCAGCTAACGATACGTTCACCCCGGAAGAACAAGAACTCTCAGAATAGCACAAAAAAAGCATTCTCAAATGGAGATAGAAAAGTTAATCTGAAAACATGTTGACATTTTCGACCGTTTTAGGAAAATTCCTAAAAATAGAATGTTCGTTATCCCATGAGAGCTGTAGGTCTGGGGGATAACTACAGCACTCCCAGTGTCCAACCCGACCACTTTCACGCCAGGTATACAACCACAGTACTGGCATTCAGATCGAATGTTCCATTACCAATTAAAATGCCTCTCAAATATGACATTTTGATCTCCTCTCCTTATTTCAAAAGATTCTTAAAATGAATTTCAGTTATCCCTTAATCAAACCAGACCTGGAGGACACTAGAGCAGCCCAGGTATCCAACCAGACCACCCTCATTCGGATCTGATGTCCTCTGAAAAGTGACAAGGTGGCCTGCGTTCTGACATGACCTGCATTCTAACATGTTGATCTTTTCGCCCATTTTTAGAACATCCTAAAAGAAGTAATACAGCACCCGGCTCTCCACTCAGACCACCCTCGTCCGGATCCGATGTTGCATTTTGAAATAAAAGGCCTCTGAAAACGGGCATGTTGACCTGATTTCTGACAAGTTGGCCTGTCGGTCTGGGG